AGTTTGTCATATTTATCGCACTTCTTGTCAACCGAAGACGAACAGCACTTGCAGCATCCTCTGTTTACTTTTATTACTATCTGACGGTAACTGGAAGCAGTTAGGCGATGGCGGTGCGTTGGGGTGTAATCCTCATATAGTCAATAAAAACGTAGGCTAGACAGAAAAACTAATGGCTCCGCATTCGTATATTCGATAGCGCTTTCATTATGAAAATCTGCAAAGAAACACAAAGTATGATTCACATGAAAGCATTAACTCAAACAAGCAAAAAAGCACAAAACCTGCTGAAGCTACTTTATCCTACTTCTATCTCGTTTTAATAAACCTAAGTGTCACATTTGCAACGTAAGGACTGCTGTGAAATAGACGTTTATCAGTAGCAAAATTGCAGCGATTTATCAAACATATTTGCATTGATTTTGTACACTAAGAAAACTATGAAAAAAGATATAATTCAAGCTAAAGCGAACATTGTTTGCTGTATTAACTCCAGATACGAATGCATTGCTCTAAAAGGTAATTCAGAGGGCACAATCAGATCTTCGCTATATACGATTCGTTATAAGTTGCATGTGAAGTAGGAAAAGCACTAACAACGTTAATATTTTGATAAAGCGAACCTCTGCACTGCTATCCGTATGCTCACTAGCGCCGATTGTTGCAATCTGAGGAGCAACACTCTGAGTCGATAGCGAAGATGGTGAGCAGGTTACAACTAGAACTGGCAAATTATGCAAAATGAACATGAAATGTGTAAAAGTATGAGTAAAATGTAATATTGAATAAAAAAAGACCTGGGGGTGCGGTTGCTTGAACTCTGGCAAGATTTTTCTGATGTGGAGCAGCTACGCCGTGATTTGGTGGTGTCGGACCCATGAACTGGGATGGTGGAGATCCCGAGCGACTACCGCTGCGATCGCTACGTTCACCACTGCTGTTATTGGAACCATTTGGACCACATAGAGCCGTTGCTGACGATCCCGAAGAAGAGACCGTTGCAGACGGCAGCTAGAAGATTTGTTGACAACTTCAAAGGCAAATTGAAGACAATCGTACCTGATTGTGGTTGTTGCTACTCATTGGCGCAACGCTGATAGTTCGTGGGTGAACCCGCCAGCGTGAAAGATTACCAAAACGTATTCCTAAAATCTCAACTTCTTCAAGATTCA